AGGGGCTTCCCTGCCTTTAGCCCCCAAAAGGCACCCCCATATTTCTTGGAAGCAACAGCTGGAGAGAAAGGAGGCATCCTGGGGGGGGAATGACAGGATTGAGCACTTGCAAACATCAACTGGTTCCATCAGCTGCCCTTCTTTGCTTAAGATGCAGGTGCTAAAGAAAGAGGGGACTAAACGTATTCCTCTAATTAGCCTCGTCCGAGTACCACATTTTTAGTTGACCCGGGGGTTCCTGAAATTCCGGCCGGCAAAACAGGCCTTGCTTCCCAGCTCCTCTTCAATTCTAAAGGGGGAAAGGGAGAAAGGAATCTTGAAAACAAAGCAAGGGATCGATGGTTCCCCCCAGCGGAAGGGGGGGAAAAAAATCATTACAAGCCCCCAAAACAAGATGCACCCCCAAACGCTTTAGCGGGCGAGATTTACAGCCCTTCAAACTTCAGGTTTCTGAACAACCCCGAAGCTTAGGTTGAAAAAGGCCAAAAAACAGGCAAATATCCAAGAATTCATCCCGGATGAAGAGTTCTGTAGTGCTCAAAAGCTTATACATTCTGCAGCATTTGGGGATGGCCCTAATCAAGATCCAGCCTAGCCCCTAAGCGAGAGCGAGTCTTAGAGGACAGTTAAGTCTTCCTAGGCACCAAGAATTATATCCTTCCCTGCAGATTTGCTAGGACTACAGTTCTCATTATCCTGGGCTAACCCAGCCACCTGTCATTCATTCATTCATTCATTCATTCATTCATTCATTCATTCATTCATTCATTCATTCATTCATTCATTCATTCATTCATTCATTCATTCATTCATTCATTCATTCATTCATTCATTCATTCATTCATTCATTCATTCATTCATTCATTCATTCATTCATTCATTCATTCATTCATTCATTCATTCATTCATTCATTCATTCATTCACTAAGTTTGTAATGATTCTTCTGCAAACAGGGGACTTTTTATCACGCGTGATGGACTTGTGAAGAAGCAAAGAAATTTTGGGTGCAAATTCCTGCACTGATGCAAAATATATTGTGGACCCATATTATAATGAAATATTTCTGTTGGGTTTTACGGAGGCTGAACTGGAAAATATGGAAAGCGAATACTGTATGCGGCAAGAGTATTGTATGCACAAAGATGGAGGAATAATGAAATTCCCACCATAGAAGATTGCATCATAAAATCAGGAGAGCTCGCCGAAATGGCAAAGCTGACCAATTTTGGTTGGGGAAAAAGAGATAAAAACTTTTTAAAGAGACTGGAAACTTTATATGGACTTTGTGTTGAAGAAAAGACTGAATTGATGTTTTATGGGGATTAAAAAGGGCTCAAGAGGAAGGGGAAAAATTAAAATGGCAATTACTTGATGGAAAGAGGGGCAGAAGTCATAATTCTGTTTTCTTTCTTTTTTCACTTTTTTTCTTATTTTCTTTCGTTAATTTTCTATACTTTTATCGTACTGAAAATTTTTAATATATAAACAAAATTCTTCTTCTGCCACCGCCGATGATGCACAGAAGAGAACTTGGCAACCTTACAGGAATCCAGATTTTAGAGAACGATGAAACAAATCAAAGCCAGATCAGATCTTCATCATGGTCACAGACCACAGATGAAACGAAAGACCCTGCCCTCGGCCCCAAAGAAACCTGGCCATAAAAACCGGTCTTACCTCAGAAGTTGGTTATATTTAGCTAGACGTTCGGATCGGCAGGGAGCACCAGTCTTGATCTGGGAAAAGAAAATTAACCAAGGAATATGAGACTAGAAGGGTTAGGGTTAGGGTTTAATGTCACGCCATTTTAATGTCACGTTTTAATGTCACGCCATTCAGACCCACTTAGCCAGGATTTAGCCACAATTTCTCAAACAAGCCACAGAACTATCCTTCACGTGACAGTACACCAGCGTTTCTCAACCTCAGCCATTTTAAGGTGCGCGGACTTCAGCTCCCAGAATCCCCCACAGTGCAGCACATCTCACTAAGTGAGAAACAAGCATGCCACATCATGGCTTGTTTTGCAAACCACATTGGTTCTATGAACCACCCCTGCAGTGTTCTGCCTGATCTCTCACGTTCCTTCTGACACACCAGGAGTCTTCCCTCCAGCTCTTCCTCCCCGTGCCCCCTCCAGGCGATGCATGAACCCAAACCCCCCCCCCCCCCACAGCAACCTT